TTATTTTTTTAAACACCCCGTTTTTTATAAGCATTTGAATTATTGGAATCACGGATGATGAGGGTTCTTTGCGTTCCCACGACAGTCGGGTCTATGTAACCGGAACGACCCAGATTTATATCTGGCCAAGGACTGTCACTCCAGCAACACTCCCCAAAAACCCTTTTGGTGAACTTGTATGCTGCTACAACAACAACAGGGTCTCAGATAGTTACGTAATTCTTACCTAATTAAAGGTCAGACCAATAGCCTTTTCTCTTTATAGCCAGACGTTGACCATTTCTGCTGGAAATCCCTATTGAAGGAGCCTACTCTTTGAATTCAAATAGCAAAGAAGGAAGATGTAGGGGGAGAGTTCTACCACAAAAGTTTTTAGCCAAGGATTCAATGTATATCTCTATGAAAAAGACATTGCCCGACAAGTAAAAAACATTACTGTTTTTTTAAATTTTTGCTAAAAATAAATTTCCCAAAGATTTTGATTTTTGTAATGCTTTTTGCTTCGCCTGTAAAATAACAAATTTGCTGGTTAGGGCCTTTGTGAATTAAGGTGACGGTATGTAACATCAAAAGCAAATCAAAATGCAGGTATTTAAAGCACAGAAAATGAAAAAAAAATATATAGTATTAAAATGACTATGTTCTCTTTGACGTACGTCAAAGCTCAAGTAGAAGTTGGAACTTGTATGACTGCCCATTGATAGCTCGGTTAGATAGCTTAAGAAATAATATGTTTAAAGACATTTTTATCATCAAAGTTGACCAGTTTTGTTAAAGAAATACAACTACGACCAAAGGCAAAAAATATTGGCTACAAATTGTCATTTTGTTTGCCAGATATACGTTTTATCGGTGCACTTGCACAACATTCGCATTCGCAAAAGCTCCGCATTGATTATTGCGAATGCGAATATTAAAATTAATGCGGAAGCTCCGCGGTTACGAATATTCGCAACAAGCCTGCTTCAAACTTGCAATTTGTTATACTAAAATTGAATGGGCTGTATAATAGCATAATTTAAATTTTTCATAAAAGTCTGATTAGAAGTGTCAGATCTGTTTGTATGCGAGCGTATACAGCACCACAGGTTTGTAACTATTTCTACTGGGAACGAACTACGCAGGTCCGGAATCTCTTCATGTTGGTTTTACGTATTTCATTCAAAATAAATGTACTTTAGGTTTTTTTTATTCAAATTCATATTCAATTCAAATTTCTCGACTGACGAGTGTCGACCACTCACATAATGCGTCGACCGCCGTATAAGTCTCTGTGGCAGAGAGGACGCCTCTATGTCTTCTAGTCGCGTGGAGTGACTGACGGTATCAAACGCCTTTGACAGATCCAACGCTACTAGAATAGTTCTCTCACAGGGGCGGTTGCGGTTAAGGACCCCGTGTTATCTGACTGTTTATGGCGCTGTTGTTGTGCTGTGTACTTTACGGAAACCATGCTGGGGGTCAGGTGGTTCGTAAAATACGGGAGGAGCAAGGCCTCTAGTGTCTTCGCTACCAGGGAAAGGAGGGTTATCGGGCGATAAGACTCCTTTGTTGGCTGGTTTCCCCGGTTTGAGCAGTGGGACCACCCTCCCCATCTTCCAGGAATGGAGAGAGCGGCCATTGACAGGTTGAGAACCTTGGCTAAATAGTCTACTCCCGCAGGACCTAAAATTTTCAGCATTCCGTCGGGTCCCACGGCTTTAGAGGCTTTCGCCTTCCCGATGGCTACCGGAACTTCACAAGTGAAAGCGAGAGGCACACGTGTTGTTGGCAGTTTGTGCAACTTTCTAGGTTTGGCTTTGCCCGTCCGCTGCAGCAGCAGTGACAACCCTCCGGAACTTACGCTCGCTTACGTGAACGTCGGTTGGTGTGGGGAGGGCAGAGAAGGTGCTTTCAGTAAATTCCGCGAAACCTTTCCCATCAGCTTTAGAAAAGTTGATATACATAGGTCCGGTGTTCCACAGAAGCAAAGTCAGCAGGTTTTTCAATCGAGATGACTATGGACAGATGATCTCATGCTAACACGATGTAAAGAACAAAGGTTGCGCCCATCTTGGTACCGCTATTCCGCTCTCAGCGAATTTGACAGAATCGTTGTTTTTTATGACGTCACACTCGGGTAACTTGTTTATGTTTTCCTTGCAAAATTTGTTCTTATTCTTCCATTCTTGCTCACGTTTTGGCATTTCTCCTGCAATTGCACCAGTGTAACGTCACACAAATGTTACTCTCGAAAATCCTCTCTGATGGGCGCAATGGATGGATTCTCGACAGTTTTTCGAGTCGTTCTCTAACGTTTGAGATTGGAGAATGTGGATAGTTCTCCAATCGTTCTCTAATCGATAACCAACTTCGATGTTTGCTGCACGATTGAGAGAAATAGAGATTGCGCCCATCGCGGTACCGCTAATCCGCTCTTTGTGATCTTGACATAATCAGCTGCGTGCGTGACATCATATTGGTGCAATTGTTGATTGTGGGCATACGAGAAAAACTAAATAAAGGTGAAATTAGTCAAAAACGTAAACCTACCGGTACGTAAACCCGAGTCAGCTGTCTTACCAGAGCGCCATGTAAATGAAAACTCAACACCGCAGAATTTTTCTGTAGTTGCAGCCCGTAGCGCAGAAATCTGCGGAATTTAGATCTTTCCGTGTCAGCTGATTTCTTCTTTCTATAGATGGTTGCATCAGTTTTGCAGATGGTAAAAAAGTTATAAAATCCTATTCAAAATATGTTCAAAATATTTGAAATTTACTATCGAATGAGGTTTTTTGTTGAAAAATAAGTAGTTTATGTTTAGCCTAGCATCTATTATAGCACGAAAAATTGTAGTTTAACCAACACTGAGGGCTCCAGTAATCGACAAAATTCTGCGTATACAGACTGCGTTTAAGTATAAGTTCTGCGTTCTTGACTAATTTCACCTTAACAATTTTAATATTTGTGCGTTAATATTTCTGCGTGGTTCTAAACAATTATTGAGACATTAACAAGTAATTTTTAGCAAAAAAAAACCGACTTAAAAAAAGTATGGGACCACCTCTGAGACACTACCTTTCCGTTGCAAAAATAATTATTGAAATCGGTTGACGTGGTGCAAAGTTATGCGGTAACATACATAAAAAAAAAAAATATTCCGACGAACTGATAACCTCCTCCTTTTTTGGAAGTCGGTTAAAAAGCAAAATGAAGTGTACAGTGGCAAAGTACATTCATATGTGTGCATGAACAAAATTAAAGCTAATACATGTGTACATATACATACATATATGTCGCTCATTTGGACAATAGTTAGTACCTCGTCTGTCATAACAATTGTAATACCTTTTTTAGTATTTCATTTTAGTTTCATTTAGAAGACTTAGCTTCTCTTGGCATTTCCAATTGGCGTCAGTTAGCACAGAAGAGAAATGACTGGCGTGCTGTTTTGGACTCGGCCAAAATCGCTTAGGCGGTTACAGCGCCAATAAAGAAGAAGAAGAACGTGCGCGTTTATAGAGATAAGTGAAATGAGAAGCATAGGGGTCCGCCCCCTTTTCCATTACTTACCACTTTCGCCATAAATATGGTATTGATAGCAAATCGTCGTTTAAAGTACAAAAAGCGTATCAAGATAATACAAAACATATTTCAAAATGGTGCTACTTTTTATAAAGCAATCGCATTTCTGGCTAGTATATTTCAGGACGAATGGATAAGGATTGAGCCAAGAGCTTGTGTGAGCAAATATAATTTTTGGCAGCAAATGTCAGTTACGCGGTTTTGCAGAATGACGATACGCGGTTTTGTACTTTAAACGACGATATGTAGCTGGGTCGAAATTCAGGACGTTAGCGTAAGCGGTTCCAGAGATAAGCTATATGAGAAGTTCAAGTTTGTATGGAAGGTACCACGCCCCCTTTTCTAATGCATTTGCAATATATGCATCAGTGCTAAGTTGCAGTTCCCCAGCGGAATTGGTTTAAGAAATATGTTGGTTTTTTAGGTTTTAGTCTATATAAGAATTTTAGGAATATCCCGAGCTACATACCGAGTAAACTTTTGGTCGGGATATTTATTTTCAAGGTGCTGGCATACATATGTTCCAAATATGAATCAAATCGGAGCAGTTGTTTAGTGTTTTAGTGAAATACATTGCACAGAGAACTGCATGAAGAGAACTTGTAAAGCGTGATGCCTCAGATTTCTTAATTTTTTGGCAGCATCAACAAAAAGTTTTGTTTTTTAGCGAAAAATCTTCCACACAGAAGTTCCAAAGAAGTGCGGTTAGTTATGCTTGAACACTCTTAATTGAATGTCAATAAAATTAAGTTTGTGGTTATATCAAGGCGAAATTTTCAGAACAGTCCGTCCGACGCACTGGAAAAAGTTAATACATTAAAATATCTAGGAATAATGATCGACGATAAACTAAAACAAAAAAAAAGTATTCTATATTTTCAGTTAGAACTCTAGCAATATGTACATCGGTGAAAACTGCATTCAATTCCATGCATTAGTTTTCGAGTGATGCGCGTACAAATATACAGACAGACAGAGTAAAAAATTCTAAAAATTGTTTATTTGGCTTCTGTAGCTCTGATAAAAACCCACCATATTAATCGACCTGTTATAATTTTATTATAAGTATAGATATAGATTTCATTTATTTTATCAATTTAATACAATACAATTTTTCAAACAGGTGGCAACCCTCCCTAAAAATATTTTCAATATATTCAATTTATCTTATAAATTAAATTGAATCAAAATTTTCAAACAGGTGGCAACTCTAAAAAAAATTTTTGGCTTCTATATTTTTTTCTTTCTATATTTTAAGTTAGACCCCTAGCAATACAGACAGGCAGACAGACAAAAAGTCCAAAAATGGTTGTTGGCTTCTGGTGCTCTAATAAACACACCCCCCACACAAATTTTTCTTTAATATCTATAATGTCCTGTTACAATTTTATTATATGTATAGATTAAGTTTTTTGTCTTCCTTTCGTTTATTGCAGATTGTTAGCTCCTTCGATTTGATTCGTAAAGAGAAACAACAGCAATTGAAAGCAGCAGCTCAAGCTGAAAAAGTGGCAAAGGCACAAAGGCAACAGCAACAAGTGCAATCGAATGCCGGCAATTATAACGGACGGGTACGCGCCAAATCGCAGGGAGATAAAATGTGCGTACAACAAAATATCAATAGAAACCACAACACCAATACCAATAATAATGGTGGCAACAACAAACATCGTGTACAAAAACAAATATCAATGATTATTATAAACTCAAATGCTACAACCAATAGCAGTATTCATAACAATAATACGATCAACAACAACAATAACACTGCCGTCTTTAGTGCTAGAGCTGCATCGAATCCTTCACCATCGTCATGCTCAGGCGCCGAATTACTCGCATTTGCCGCCGAAGCCGCAGCAGCCTCAAACTTGTCATCAGCAACGAATTCGGCTCAGAAGCAACGTCCAGCTTCGGTATCTTTGCATTTGGCCACGCCACCTACACCAGCAACTGGTCAGGCCATCCAGCAGTTGCAGCGCATGGCTTCTGGCACGAACCTACGAATTCTGAAACGTAGTACTTCGTACCAGCAACAGTCGCAGCAACTCCAGTCAAAATCCAACTCAATGCAACGATTGCAACAACAGGCATTATTCGAGCAGTCACAGCGACTTGAAAATGATCTACAACTACGTCAAGCACCACAAAAATTCACACCCAGTTTCAATTCGTGGACGAATTTCTCATTTACAAAAAATTTTATTGCAAATGTTTTTTGTTAGAAGAAGAATGTCAATCAATGAAGAAGTGCCAGATTGGTTGAGATATAGGAGATAGTGGAGTGAGCGCATAATTATTGTATGCGTGATTTAACAGTTCAAAGCTCGAAGGAAGTACGGGATTAAGAAAAAGCATAACAAGATATAATACAATTGAGATACAAAAAATTTAAGTTTTACGTCAAATAAATACATAACGTTTTGAAATATTGAAACGCAAGTTTAGTAAATTTTAGAAATATGCGAAACGGGAGACGGTAACATGTACATGTGGGTTATTTGGGGAATTCCAAATTTGAACTGAAATAAATAGTATTCAGTGTTGGTATATTTGTAACGCAATAGAGGAATTTAATATGTCAAAGGAGAACTTTATGTGCAACTTTTTATGTGTTTTTCTCCAATACTTCCTTCGTCGCTTTCACTGATTCTTTCTAAGTGTACCTACTACAAAAACTAAACTACTTTATTTATTTCTATTGATTTTATCTTCTCATTTGAATAATTTTTTTCTTTACTTTTGTAAAATGAAAGCATATCGACGAAATTCATTTTTGATTTCTAATTTTAGTTTTATCTAATAAATAAAAATATTATCAGCTTTTGTTGGAAACCTGCAATTTTTCCTATACTTAATTAAACTTTGAAAAGTATATTATGGTCAAATTAGTTTCTAAAAAATAAAATTTTAGAATAATTATAAACCATTTAACAAAAATGCCACCTACAAATAGTGAGAAACCACTAGACGAAAATATAGGTAGGCTAAAGCGTAAAAGTAGCCATAAACTGATGGTCAAAATAAACAACCTAACCATCATTTCATTCCATCATCACGCTCTACCAACGCCTTGTGATAGTACAATAAATCTTACTTTTAAGTTTAATTGATAAATCATGTAATGTACTGAAATGTAAAAAAGTGCAAACAAACTTGTGTGCAGAAATGTAATGCCTATTTTTTGTCGCTCGTTAAAATGCTACTATAAGTTTCATTCATATGATATGATAATTACGATTGACTTCAGTACAAATTTTCTTGCTATTTTCATGTGGCATTTGAGCGCAAAAAATGTACAATGTACCTCGAGTTATTGCATTTTTACTATTACTCAGAATAATGTTCAAATTTCTATGCAAGTGAAAATTTACTATTGCAAAATATTTTTGTTTAATTGTAATAATTCAACTTATCCAGTTATGAGTTCCTTCTTAGGTATTTTTTTCGGCTGAGTTTGAAGTGCAAAATTAACTACTATATACCATATAAAGTCATATACATAAAGGCAAAGTTAAAGCGCCTTAGCATGATCATAATTCGAAGACTTATAAGTTATAATATCTTTACCAGAAGGTCCATTGGCTTTAAGAAGAATAAAATCTTTTCACGCTTGATTATACATACAAACATATTTGATTATTTCGATTTTATTTGATATGTTTTTTTTCTAAGTTGATTCAGTGCGAATAATTTTGAAGTGCAGTTTGCTCGCACAAGTGAAGTTTAATCGCGGAAGATGGAAGTAGGTATCAATTGCATTTGCACTTTTTTTATTTTACTGCCTCGTTTTATTTAAATTTTCAATTGAATTGTATGGCAATTATCCAAATCGTACATGCCATACGTACATGCGAATACATAAAATACTTTTGATTTGTAAATTTTGAGCAATTTCCTCTAAACAAACATGCACATTTATGAAGTATCTATAGATCATTATTTGTTCCCTATTTGTTAATAAAACAAACAAAAATTTTAAAAAGTTCATATTTTTTTATAGAAATTTAAAAAGTGCAAACGCAATTGATACAAACACTGCCAAATACTAAGTGTCAGTTTTTGAATTTTAGCAAGCATGTAAAATCGTTTGTTAGTATCCTGCTATAAAATGATTTCAACTTCCATGTTTCTCAATTGGTATCGAATATTTGGCAGTGCAAAACAAAAACAAAACAAAAAAACAAAAAAAAATATCGCTCACAATGCTCAAAAATAAAAATTAAACAATAAACCAGATCAATGTTGGATCAGCAAAAAATTATAACAATACAATCAAGGTGAATTCATATAAGTTGTGGTGCTGACTACCCACGAGGCAACCGTTGCGGCAGCCACCATAAAATATCAAAATATGTTGATGTTCAAGCGACGGTTGCGGCAACACGATTTCTATGTCAGACTGGACTACACACGAAGCAACATCACATGGTTTCTTCAATGATTGAAAAGCGAATGAATTTCTGGCAATATTTCTCCTTACTAAAATGCAACCTTGAGCCGCTTTGCTGGCTGTTTTTTATTTCTTTATTTTCAATTTGAAGATTAATTTGTTATTTACAACTAAACAATTAAATTCAAAAAATAATTTAAAGCATTTCTTCTTTATCTATTCAAAATTATCCTTTAATATTTGTCACAAATTCGCGAGAGTGCCACACGGCAACACTCGATCAGTTTGACAGCACTTGTAGCAGAAAAAAAATTGCTAGTGCAGCACGAGCTAGTTGAAATATAGGGTTCATTCCACAACGTACAAATACAATGCATGAGTCTATTTTAGTCTCAGTGTATTGTAATGCCAAATGTTCGCAACCACGGTTAAATTCTAGTTTTCAACTAGGTTGCACAAGTTAGACTTTTTCTTTGAGTGCGGTTTAGAAATAAAAGAGCCTGATGCTTTCTATTTTGACGTTTAGAATACACCCATATTTTCGAAATTGATTTGCGCTGTTTCAGCTGCAGTCGTACCTTGTATATTTTCTTTCAGAACGTGATTCCCGAAAAGTGGCAGAAGTTGTTCCTACTGTTCGCACGAGGAAATTAAATTTCTCTTTCTCAATTTGATAGCGATTTGTATGAAAAAGTTGGAAATATCGTCATGTTTGACACGCTTTTTATAAAGAAAAAATAAATAAAACGTAAACAAACAACTCATTTTGACAATCCTCGCACACAAAACAATCAAATCAGCTGTTCTAATGGCACCACCTTATATGAATTCGCGTTGAATACGATAGTGGAAGAGCGACTCGTAAAAAATCGAATAAAATAAATACCAATTTTCGACAAAGTACAGAATAAAAAACGAAATTCAAAATCCTGTTAAAAATTCTAAAAAACTGTAAAACTGGCAAAGTTCTATGTATTAATCCCCCAAAAAAATACATTTGTTGTACTTTCTATTCAATTATAAATTAACAAAGGAAGGACTAAGAGAGAGTTTGGCTTAGCATTTAATGTATAGCTAAACTCAGAATTTGTAATCTTATAGGGCTTTCGCACGGGGCGATTTTTCAGGCAATTTTTGCGTTCAACTCATGCAGGGTTGAACGAAAAAAAATTGAATGGCTAAAACCATCAAAATATGAAAAAATATCAAAATATTCCCCATAAAAAGGCGTTTGCATTGTTCAACTTTGCATTCTACTTTTGGTTGAACGGCCTTTCAACTAATCGCTTTCAACAAAGTTGGTCGCCAGCCAACATTTAGCCATTCCATTTTTTTCAGTGCAACCCTGCGTGAGTTGAACGCAAAAGTTGAACGCAAAATCGCCTCGTGCGAACCCCTTTTTAGATGCATTAAAGTGCGCACAAAGAAATCTTAAAGTCCTGCAAATAAAACGGTAATATACGAATAAGAGTAAGTAAGTTTACTCAATGAGAATAATGCAATAATGAAACGAAATAATTTGCCAGTCATAGTTATTATCTTTTATTCAACAATTATTCTATGCGATTTGCATTTTGCAACGCTTTTTAATATATGTACATTTTATGTTAATAATTTACATTTTAATTTATTATCTCGATCCCGATGGCATATCAACCAAAAATTATGTTAATAACAGCGAAACATAAATCTTTTTTTTCAATATTTAAGCTTACTCCTTCCTCAATGGATGCATTTTATCAATGATTTTCAATGTACAAAAATGTCATTTTAAAACCAATCCTCAAAATTTTAAGAATATTCTGTGATATAACAGATATAACAGTATAGACATTTCCAATAACTCCTTAATTGTGAATAAAAAATTCTTTTTTATTTTGTACTTTCGAAGAAAAAACCAACCACCAAAAATTATGTTTTATTTTCAAAAGGCGGGGGTGCAAGAAATCAGTGGTAAACATGACTAAAGCATTATTTGCTATATGAAACATCCGATACGTACATATGCATGTAGGTAGATAGAATCAAACATTTTCTTGAAAAACTATAGGACCACTTATTATTTATTTACTAGTGAACCCACATGACATTAAAACGCCCAAAATCGAATTTCAGAAACTAAAAACAAAAATTATTCCAAATGTCTGTCAGAGTTATAAGAGATCCGAGTGCTGTATTTCATCAAAACCGTGCAGCCGTTTCTGAGTGAAGAGCAGTCTCGCTTAGTGCATGTTTTTCATTTCATCAAATTTCAAATCACCCTATCCGATGAAAAAAGTTCTTAATTAAAAAAAAAATAAAACTTTATCACACATTTACAGGCTAAGGTAATTAATTTGACCTCTCAGTTTTGAAATTCCTTTTCAAACGTATTCTCAAACTAAATATCTTTAATCTCTTTCGTCTGACATGATGATACACATGTATTTCAATAAACTGATGAACTAATTTGAATTTGACTGTTCTAACAAATGACAGCCTTACCAAATAAATGTTAGGAATAAAGCCTTTTCAAACCCATTTCGATTGATAACCATTTTTTAATAATTCATCCAACTTATTGAATAATTTGAATGTAACTTTTTAAACACGTGACAACCCTCTTCAAACATTCCAAATGTTCAAACCATGATAAAAATATAGTAAGGTAGAACCGCTGAGAGTCACTTTTAAAATTCTTGATGTTTCCAAACAATTTAATATTTAAATTTACTCACAAACTCACTCACACATTTTCATTTTCAATCTCAAGCAACAACAATTTCGAACAATTTCAATTTTTTATTTTCACTTTTATATGATTTTAAAATGTTGGCAAACTTCAAAAAAAATCATGGCCGACAAATTGAGAGAACGGTTCTACCTTGCTATGTTTTTATCATGGTTCAAACCATGATACAAAAAAAGAAGGTTGTTCCATTGTCACTTTTTCGTCGCCATATTAACAACCTGACAATTAAGTAGATTGTGACTATTGTGATGCGACTAGCAGTAGATAAACGAATATTATTCGATTATCGCTTTTCCATGGTATTGTGAATGTCGATTTCTCGTTCAATAAGCGACTGTGAATAGTTTTTAGTCGGTCATCCTTCAACTGTTTATTTGTAAAATGATGAGCGCCTATAATTTATTCAGACTGACTTACTGAACGAGACAACGACGTTCACAATACCATGGAAAAGCGATTATCGAATAATAGGCGTTTATCTACTACCAGTCGACACTCGCAATAGGGGTGTTACTAACATTTTGTTCTTAGAATCGAAATTTGAACAAGCAAAAGGTATTTTACTTGTACACCAATATTGGGTTATTGGGCCGTATGCATAAAAACTGAGCAATAGCTTTTTCTTAAAATATATCTTTAATTTAAATTTATTTGAAAAAATTGAGTACAGTCTGAAATTTTAAGAAAAAGCATTTGCTCAGTTTTTATGCATACGACCCATTGTGTCCAAACGCTTAACCCAAAGCAAACAAGTAAGAAAGTCTAAGTTCGGGCGGAGCCGAACATTAAATACCCGGCGCAAGTATTAAATATATGTTTCTTCACCTTTCCGAAACCTACCGCTAGATGGTAAGCCGGGGTGCATCAATTTTGAGTAAATTAGCGTCCTTCAATTTCGAAATATTGAAGTTTCAAGCATTTCTGAAATTTACCGTTATATGAGAAGCGGCCGTTATTTTAGTCCGAATCAATAATTTTCAACGTTTTGCTTATATGTGGCAAGCACAATAACCACACCGAGTTTGGTATAAATTGGTAGAACGGTTACCGATATACTTATATGAGATCATAAGTGGGCGGTGCCACGCCCATTTTCCAAAGTTTTACCATAATCGTTTTTCTTGGTAAAGAATTGTTGCAAGCATAAATTTTGAATAAATTAAATAACCGTTATATGGGATGTGGGCGTGGTTATTGGCCGATTTTAAAAAGTTTCGGCAATTTTTTATGCTGTGCCAAGGCCAACAACTGTGCCAAGTTTGGAAGAAATTGGTGCAGCGGTTACCAAGATTTACACATGTAACCATAAGTGGGCGTGGCTACGCCCATTTTCCAAAAATTTATAATATTCTTATTTTTCGTCTAAAAATTATTGTAAATATCAATTTTGAGTGAATAATCTCCAGTAGTTACTAAAATATCGCAGTTTTCGTATTTCTGAAAATTACCGTTATATGGGAAGTAAGCGTGGTTATTGAGCGATTTTAAAAATTTTTGGCCATTTGGTATGTTGTGCGAAGGCCAATAACTGTGCCAAGTTTGGAAGAAATTGGTGCAGCGGTTACCAAGATATACACATGTAACCATAAGTGGGCGTGGCTACGCCCATTTTCCAAAAATTTATAATATTCTTATTTTTCGTCTGATGGTTATTGTAAATATCTATTTTGAGTGAATTATCTTCAGTAGTTACTAAAATATCGCAGTTTTCGTATTTCTGGAAATTACCGTTATATGGGAAGTGGGCGTGGTTAAAGTCCGATTTCGCCCATTTTCAATACCAACCTACCTTGGATTAAGGGAAACCTACATACCAAATTTCGTTGAGATATCTCAATTTTTGGTCGAGTTATCGTGTACACGGACGGACGGACAGACGGACAGACGGACGGACAGACAGACATGGCTTAATCGATTTCTCTTTTCATCCTGATCATTTATGTATACATTTGTCTATATCTATCTCGATTCGTTTTGGCTGTTACAAACAACCGTTATGTGAACAAAATTAATATACCCTTGTGCACAAGTGCGCTCGGGTATAAAAATCTTAGCACACACGTGTGATCAAACAATTAGACGTTAGTTTAAAATAAAGATTTAAAATTTTCAGATACAAATTTTTGAATAAATTCGGTTTGAAATATGGATCTTTTTATAAAAAATACTGTGGTCAGCGTAGCCGGAGTTGGACTTACATTTTCTCTGTCAAAATGCTAATTTTACTCCATTTTTCAATGAATCCCCCTCTGTCTCCGCTCCCCACCCCAAAATCGTTGAAAGAGAAGAGGTCTAATGCTCAATAACATGATAGTTGTGGTTCCTACTAACAATAAATCCTCAATGTTGTTTCACACCCCCTCCAATATTGAACAGTCAAATATATTAATTTTTACGCAAAGAAACAACGGTATTGTCGAAATATACTAGAATTTGATAATACTCACTTCTCTGAAAGTCATGAGGACAATGGGCCCAAAGTAAATTCCGTTTTAAAGTTACTTGAAAGACATGGACAAAGACAATATCGAAATGTGTAATTTCAGTGTCTGAATTATATCAGAAACCATTGTATCCGACATAGAAAACTGTAACAGTCGCTAGCTACATTGTGAAATATTCAGGTGACATAATGACTAAAAAAATTTTAAATTATGTTCACTAAAATTTTGTTAATGTAAAATAAAGATTTTGGCAAGTAGTTATCGAATTTAAAGTAAAATTTAAACGTTTTTTAGATATGATATTAATTATTTTTAAAGTTAAATGTTAATACAACTATTGTATTTATACTCCCAAATTTTGGATATAAAATCCCCTCCACCAAAAAACTTAAATTGGGTAACGCCGCTACGATTGATCAATTGTCAAAAATCTCGTTTTTAATCAAAAAGTTGTTTATTGAAACTACCTTCTTTTTTTGTATCATGGTTTGAATCAAAAGGTTCAGGTTGTAAGTAGCTTTTTCAAAAATTTGGCACTCCCACCCACAGGGATGGTTTTTGGAAGCAGGAGCAAAAGGGGAAGAATTCAATCACACTTCCTAAAATGGGAGCTAAATTCCATAAAAAGGTGTGGATAATAGTGAATGGTGGTATTTTAAAACAAAAATGAATTTGATTTAATTATTT